ATGCAATAGTCCTAAGCAAACAAAAACTAGACAATGAAAATGAATATAAATAAAAGGTGATCGATATCTCTTTTACTTGTTTCCAACCACTTGGTGCATTTGATTTTATTTATTTATTCACTTCATAATTACTTTTATTTATTATATGTATATTTGTTTATGAATTAACAACCAAACTCTATCAAGCTATAAGTTCATTGGTCAATACTTGAATGGGTACTTAATACATTAATATTTATAAATATATATTATTTAAAATAATCGACTTTTTTATATATAAAATTAATCTTAATTAAACATTTAGATAATTTAAAATACTGAAATGTCTAATCTAATCAATATAATAATTTATAGATAATAAGATATTCAATATTTACATAATTATTTTTATTTATTTGAAATATATATATTTAAATTATCAAAACTTATTTTTTAAAAGAAAAAATTAAATCCATCCAATTCGCCAGTTTCGACCTTTTTTTACCGGTTCAAATCAAAATGATCAACTAATTAGTTTCAACTCCAACCAGTTCAATCCAATCTCTTTATTATTCTAATTTATTATTATCTACTTAAATTCGACAATAATTTTAGTTCGTAAAAAATTTTGAGTATAAGAACTTAATATTATATTTATGAGTTTAAAAATCATAATCTATATCTTTTTATAAATCAATTATAAAAAATGAAAATTACATTTTCTTTTTATACCACTGTGCCATCTCTCGAAAATAGTTTTAGGCCCACACTCAATAAAATTTTTGGATCCGCCCCTGCTGTCACGCTACTGGATGTACCGTTGGGTCATCCGCCCCATCCAATTTGCAAATTTGAGCTTCCCTTTTAATTCTGAAACTGTCTCCTTAATTTGGGGTTCGATTTGTATTAGATTTATAGAATCGGAGTAAGAGGGTGCAGTCTGACGCAGGTGAAGTCCACCATAAGAGGGCGAACCTAGGTGGTGCACCTCAGTGAGGTTCAATCTCAAACAGATGATCATATTCCCAACCAACACACACTTAAAAGTAACCCCACATTTCAATCCCACAAAAACCAAACACACATTTTCAAATTATGGTTTTACTTACCTAATCCACGGTGATCAAGCCATCGTCTCCCCACCCAAGGTTCACAGCCAGGTCCTCCACCGCCACCTTCACCACGTCTGTCCGCACCCCAATATCGGTTGCGTAGCGGCTGGCACAGTACACACCGGCTGTGGCTGCCGCCACCCCAACTGGGCCCGGCATCAGCAGCTTGAGTGGGGACGAGAGCAGGGCGGCCAGCGGGGCCCCGATCACGGACGAGGCCTGCCCGCTCCTCCCCACCCCGGCCCTGTCAACTGTCAGCAGGCTCGTCTTGCAGTAGAGGGCGAAATCCTCACAGTTGTTAAGGAACACGTCATAATTCCCAAAGCCGTTGCTGAGCAAATACATGGCTCGGTGGATGGCGGCCCCGGGCGAGTCGGAGGGTGCGGTGGTGCACGTGCCGCCACGGATTTTGGCGAGGAATGCTGAGGGAGTTACCCCGTACTCGAAGGCGTAGAGGGACCCACCTCGGAGGAAGCAGTCGAGACAAGAGAGAACGACTCCACTGTGGGGCCGTCTGAAGCCACAGTCCGGGGACGATGTCAGGCATTGTGTGTTTGGCTCATGCGGCCCAGAGGACGAGGTATCGACCCGGGTGAAGTGGACCACCTTGTTCGACCCCACAAAGATGCCTGCAAATGTGTGGAACTCACAGATTTGAAGAAATGCATTATAATTATAAAGAGATATATAAACATAGAAATACAAACTTGCAAAATCATATATTTGCAGTTGGTGTTATCTCAGTCATATATAGTGACAGAGAACTTATTAACATGCTTCAGATTACTGAATTCTGAAAGGCCTAAGGAGGAAACTGTATTCACCTCTCATAACTCATAATATATAAATGAAAATCCCAATTGTAACAAATTTTGTCTCATCTTAGACTTGCATAATCGACCTATATCTTACTATCCAACAAAACTGATCTCTCAGACAAAGCGAGTTCCTACGACACTATTAGTCGAAACCAAAGGCAGCTCAAATGTAGGTCCTGTTTTCAGGAACTGCCTTACGCAAATTATGCCCAAAATGTTCACCAGCAATGGCTTATATCACCTCGTAATGATCGTAGGAAAGAATATAGTATTCGCGAATTATTTTTCCTGTCATCACCAATAATGTGTTTTGCCGAATCATATCTTTCATACCACACCTGGTTTAAGGCAAAAACTACAAAAAGCCTCTTCAACATTACAGGATATGCAGCAGCTATTGAAAATGCAGTACACCCAAGTCACACACCCAACAGTAAGAAGCGAGAATTTTCATCAAAATTATAAAAAAAAAAAAAAGGCAAATTATCCAGAGAGCAAACTATAAACAAAATGGAGATGCTACTGTCCCGTTACGGAACCATTCCGTCGTCGGGGTTTGTAACCGTTAGATCATCGTGTGCAAACGCCAATTCACATTCAAAATGCGAATTGTATCCATCCAAGATCAGATTTTTATCCCAAATTACAAATCTAAAATCAAGCAAAAATATCAAGGCAATAACTTGTATCCATCCAGTTTGCAGATACAATAAGGCGATAAAAAACCACAGCCAAGAAAAGCACACAACGGGGATCTGAGTAAAATGCTAATAAACCTAGACTACGGGCCGGGCCCTCTTCTGTCTACAGATTTACAGGGATCACTAACAAAAACAACAGAAAAGAGGACAAAAAAAAAAAAATAGAAAAAGAAGAAGCAAACAGAAATTTAATAACCATGATGAGAGTATGCAAAGACTGCTCTGTAAGTGTAGATATGATCCCCTGGATTAATTTCACTCTTCTCCACTCTGTTTGTGAGCAAACCCATTTCTGTTTTTCTTCGAATTTCTTGACAAAATTAAAAGAAGAAGAAGAAGAAGAAGAAGAAGAAGAAGAATGCTGCAAAATCTAAGAAATTAAACAGAGAGTTATGTACTGTTTATTGAGCAATTTGGGTATGTACTGGTAATGCTGCATGTTTGGGCTTTTCCGGCGACTTGCGGCTTCTTCTTTTTGTTGTTTTGGCTAATGGAGATGGTAATCAATAATCATTCAGGAAAAGAGATGAAAAATTCTTGATAGGGTATCCAAGGAAAGTCTTGTTTGCAATTCAGGACATGTTTGACACGAGGATAAAGATATGCTTTGCTTCCTGGAAAACATGACTTTTTTTTTTTTTTTTTTTTAAAAAAAATTTCTACTAACCTAAATAGTTGTTGTTGGAGCTGTAAACGAACCGAACGTTTGGGAACAAAAGTTTGTTCGATCTCGTTCGTGTTCGACAAAAGCTCGTTCGTTTGATAATCGAGTCGAGTTCGAACAGAAAATTAGGTTCTTTTGATAATCGAACGAGCACGACCTCGTTCGTGAACGTTCTATTATGTTCGTAAACATTAGTTTAATATAATTTTACTTTATTTTTTTTATATATTTACATAATGTTTTTAATAAAAAATCTAAAATATAAAAGTATTTTTATTTTATAGTTTTATTTTCGAGTTCGAACGAACAAATTTCGAGTTAATCAAACATATTTAAAAAAGTTTATGTATTAAATTATCCGAACATGAAAGAACTCGAACTCGATGAACAATTAAACGAACAAACTCGAACACGATTTTTTTGCTCGATGTTAGAATATCACTTGTGAGTTGTCCCACATCGTTCATACATGGAAAATATACCCACCTTATAAGTCTAATGAGCTACTCCTACTTCCACCAATTGGTTTTGGCACTACAAGAATAATCATTTTTAGCGACGATAATTTTTGTCGCTATGTCGTCACAAAAAATACCGTCACAATAAGAGGTATTATTGTGACGACATTTGAACATATAGCGGCAATATTAGGACATCATTAGCGACGGTATTTTTTCTGACGACATAGCGACAAAAATTATCGTCACTAAAAATGATTATTCTTGTAATGTGGAATGGAACTCCACTTGGGCTTCAATTGGTTTTCCCCGCTTTTGGTGCGATTCATGTTAGTGGGACCGCACCTGTTTTTCCTCCAATTTCTTACATGGTATCAGAGCCGGTTCAATTGGGACCGTGCAACGACGTATCCGTTTATGGGAGTCTGCTTCCCCACGTACCCGTTTATGGGAGTCTACTTCTAGCAGGCTTGGGGCACCCAGTTGGGCTTGGGCTTCTCGCTTTCTTACATGGTATCAGAGCCAGTTCTATTGGGACCGTGCAATTACGTACCCGTTTATGGGAGTCTGCTTCCCCACGTACCCGTTTATGGGAGTCTACTTCTAGTAGGCTTGGGGCACCCAGTTGGGCTTGGGCTTCTCGCATCCGTTTATGGGAGTCTGCTTCCCCACGTACCCGTTTATGAGAGTCTACTTCTAGTAGGCTTGGGGCACCCAATTGGGCTTGGGCTTCCGAATGACTCACAAGTGATATACCCACCTTATAAGTCTAATGGACTACTCCTCCTTCCACCAATTGGTTTTGGGATGGAACCCCACTTGGGCTTCATATGGGTTTTCCCCGCTTTTGGTGCGATTCATGTTAGTGGGACCGCACCCGTTTTCCCCAGTTTCTTACACTCAAAAAATAAATAAACGAACACGAACATTGTTCGAACGTAAACGAACACGAGCTCGAACAACCCAAACTCGGTTTGGTTCGAATCGGTTCATTTCCAGCACTAATTGTTGCCATAATTTAAATCATCACGCAATCAAGATTCAACGATATAAAACCTTTATTAAACTCAAAGAAGAGTGCACCGAATGACTAATTACAACAACAATCCCCTCCAACGAACCACGGTGAAGAGGATCGAAACCGAAGAATAAGAGACTCGCTAACCTACAGGCTACAACAACTCTTTTGACTAACAAATCACTAGCTATACAAGCTTTACGGTCTAACGCAAAATAGTAGAAATAAAAAAAGACTCAAGAGGCAGTAAATAACCTCAACAATAATACTAATAACATAATTGAAAACGAGGTCTTCATCCCTTTCTTCACAATTATCACAAATCATCCCCACTTCCAAGCCTCTTTTTTCTCAGTTGCCTTTTAGTCTTAAGAAACCAAACCAGCTTCTCCATACAAAATTTTCAGTTTATTTTTTATTCGGAGTTAGTTTAACTGACAGACTATGTTATGATGTTTTACATTTGGATAATATAGTTCAACGGTGGTGAACAGAAGATTATATTATTGGTCCTTGTAAAACGTGAATATTTGGTTCACGACCACTATGGAATTGAACAGTCCATCATCAATTGTACAGTCTGTCTTGGCTGATTGGTTGCACTAGTACACTATGTGTATTGAACAAATTCCAGAGAGGGTATGTTTGTTTTATACTGATCGAGTAAACAAATGATCCTCCTTTAATTATTGCGCACTCTTAACAATTAAGATATAAACAAATTGTTAGTGTATGCTAAAAGTTTGGCTTTAGATGTGATTCACACTTGAGAATTCATATTTGATTAAATAAAGTTCTATGTTCTATTGTTTTGCACATAGATAAATAGTTCATCACGGATGTACAGAAGATCATTTATCAGTTACTTGTGAAACATAAATAATTGAATCACAACCTAGATGAAAATTGAACAAGCCATTGGAACGTTTGTAGTGTGTACAGTCTGTCTTGACTGACTAGTCACACTAGTACACATTGGTGTATTGATTGGATCGTAGATAAGAGCAGTTCATTTTATGTTGATCGGCATAAGCGAATTAGGCCTCGCCTAATTACTGTATTCTCTTAACCCGTAAGATATAAATGAAGACATGTATGTAGTAATTGCTGCTTTGATTCAGCAAGGTGAGGTTTATAGATACGGACCAATAACTTTCTGGGTTGTGTAATGACTCCTACATGAGATGGACTTTTGTTATAATATTTACGGCCACCATGTATTTCACAATGTTGAAGGTTTGATGATGTCCCCGAAGTGAGTTCAGAAGGATTATATTTCAATAACTAATTAAATTGACAGATATTAGATCTTAAACATGGGGAGATAGTTCGAGTAAATTAGGAGTGGAACTCAAATCGTAATTTGGGAATTAAATTGAGAGTATTCAATAATACTACTATAGTGGAGTGGCCATATAATTTCCATTAAGGCTTGTTAGGCTTGGTTCATAGTGGAGTCCTAATAGGAGAAGTCCAATTTAATGCCTCCTCATGGTCCCTATTAAAGCCTATAAATGTACCCCTTCTAGTCTTCCAAGACACATCACATAGAAGATTCTCCTTCCCTCCAAAAGAGTTCTACAGATGTTAGGTAATTCAATAGAAGACCTTAGGGTATCCTAGCACCTGAGCTAACCCGAGCACCCGACCATCGACCGTCGTGCATCGCTGAGCACCACGGCACGAGACGACCCGAGTTCAACGGAGACTCTGCCTCCCTGCTCTCGGCGACGACCCACTGCAACCTACGACGCCGTGACCCCGCGACCTACGACGCCGTGACGCCATGTGACATGCGGTCTTCCCGCACTCGGCAACCAGCTGCTGCTGCGATCCGACGACGTGCACCCGCGACAATACCGTGACCCGCTCAACGTCGAGCGACCCCAGATGCGCTTCCCAACACCGTACAGGACCAATCTGTCCCATCCGCACACACACAACTCGAGTAGTCCCGTGAAGGCCCGTTCGGCTGCCCAGGGAATTTGTGATCAGACGATCTCCTCCAAAAAAAAATCTACAACGTCTCAGAGTCGAAAAAAATATTAAACTGTGAGTCTTCTACATTTACATATGAATCCGCTGCGAAAAGGTAATTTTGTAGATAAAATTTGTAACTTGCACATTGGCGGCGATCCTCATAGATCCCAACTCAGATACGTGCATGCAGTAGCTACTACTTTGATTCACAAAAAAATGAGACTCATTCTTTGGATCATTAGTCTGACGTGTTTTTGGTAGCAGTGTTGTATGTATGGTGTGTTGTTCGAATATTTACAGTCAAGGTGTGCGTGTATGTCCCCGATTGAGCTCAAGAAAGGATTATTATATTAAACTTGACTGGTGGAATTTATTTCGACATAATATTAAATATTTGAGTGGTACTAGTGTCGATTCTTGAAACCAATTCATTATGTGAGGGTGAAAAGGATGATCGACAGCGGCGGCGACGTGATCTGTGCGGCAGGGCAAGTGATTTTGCAGGGGAAATTGTAATTCGGGGTTGGGTACTTTCTTTAAAAATTTGATAAGTGTTAGGGACTTATTTGCAGTATCAGGAATTGTAACTATATTGCAACTTTAATCCCATGGTCTAATTTCTAATTATAAAAATAAATAATAATTGACAATAGTTATAAGTAAATTGAACAATATTGTGTGTAGATATGCACATTAAAAGTATGATGGAATAACCACACAAAGTCGACTAAACCAGAAGAGCAGCTAGACCAAACCAGGTCAGTCATCAGGTCCAACGGGGAACGAAGACTCCATAGGTCGAAGGATCCTCGGGCCAAGAGAGATAACAATCACACAAAAGGTACCAACAACACGAGGAGGGCCCTCGGAGGGCTTGGTGAGAATTCGACCCGAAAGAAAACCTGGTCGAAGGATCGGCCAGGTGAGCAGGTGAGTAGAATAACAGGGCTCTACATCGATGACACTCCACCTCGAGGTAATTGGAGTCAAACGCACAGTTAGACAATCTAATGAAGAAGGCTAAAGGATGAGAAGGAATATTGTGGGGATTGAATCCGCGTGGATATGACCACGTGGCCTAACAGAGTTGGGGCAGTTAGGGTAGTACGAACGGACAGCCTAAGTGGCCCACGCGTCAAAAGGAGATTGGGTAACAAAATTATCATTACGCATGCCTTGAATTACATTACATTTTCTATTATTCCATACACTTTACATACTGCACATTATCCTAT